CTCACCAGCTGAACAGGGTCGCTATGGGTCACAACTGACTTGGTGGCAATTAGCAACAATCCCCAACATTACTCTATTAAAAAGTAGATGTGTATCTAAGAGATAATAATTAATTAGAATAGTGTCTTTTCTGATTTTGGTGTGATTTCTTTACCATATCTTCATTACTTTTGATGTGACTAGTTGGCAACTTTGAGTAAAGAAATAATGGCACAAATGTTATGTCAATTACAAATAGAAATATGTAAGTCTCTTATTCATCACCTGCTCTTCCTTTGGCTATTATAGATGATGTTTGGAGGTACAGAAGAAGTAAAATATGGAGCAGATTCTTCTAACCTACTTGTACTTTACAAGTACTGGGAATGAATAATAAGTTCAAGTCACTGAAATTTTAATGCTGTGTGTTAATGAAGTATGTCATAACTCCTCAGCAGTGGCTTCATGAACAACTGTTACTGTTGTTAACTTCTGTCAAGTCAGTTCCGACCCATAGCAACCCTGTATAGGGTTTCCAAGGAGCAGCTGGTGAGCTTGAATGCCAGTCATGCAGTTCAAACTGATTTTGCAGTCCAATGCATTAACCCACAGTGCTACAAAATAACAGAAAACAATATGGAAAATTTCTATACATTTTACTTGCTTTGTTACCCCTCTAGATATTCCCAACTATTTTTTTAACAAGAAATGGTGGTGGTTACTTTTATAATTTAAGCATAATTTTGCAAGATTAAAGAGATATTTTCACTTAGCTACAAAAAGAATGATTGTTACACAAAGCAAAAAAAAAAAAAAGATTGCATTTTTGGTGAAAGGCAGAGGGATGTATCTTGTGCAAATGTAAAGAAGATATTGCAGTCTATTTTGACTTTCAAGCTTGGTATGGGAGTCTTATATTTCTTTAATTGTTTTCCTCTGAAAAATTCTCTACCTCTGGTACCCTTCTGAGTTTTCTGATTGTCTCTGGTACTCAGTACTTTGGATATTAAATACATAGCTGTGTTTTTCTTGTCTTCTTTAAAATTTTTAGATTTGTGGAATTGTATCTCACATTATTTCAGTAATCATTCTTCAAATATTTCTTCTTTCCCATTTGTATTTCTTCTAATTGTCGTTGTTGCTAAGTGCCATTGAGTCAGGATCTGACTCATAGAGACCTTGTACAGGGTTTCCAAGGAGCAGCTGGTGAGTTAGAACTGCCAGCCTTAACGGCCCACACTTATGGAATCCCAATTTTACATGTATTTGATCAGTTGATATGATCTGTGGCTTTTGCATGCTCTCTTATGTTTCCTTTTTTGATTTGTGTTTTAGTTGTTGTTAGGGGTCACTGAGTCAGCACTAACCCATAGGGACCCTATGCACAACAGAATGAAACACCTCTTGATCCTGAGCCTACCTCGCAATCATTGCTACTCTTGAAGCCATTGTTACTGTCACAGTGAAAATCTAACTTGTTGGTGGTCTTCCTTTTCT